CCCAGCACCATGCTCTCTTTCACCATTCTGCGTTTTTAGTAAAGGTGGAAACTTGGTAAATCAAACCTTGCACACAACTATTTTTCAAAATTCTCAATCAGAAATATATTTTATATTCTAAGGCTTTAACTTATAGTCTAACCAAACATCATAATCATAAACTTTAGAGACTCAAGGTTTAACTTTCCACACAGCCCATCGCTCCCCAAGTTAAGTTTGAAAAATTTGGTTCAATCAGTTTTCCCCTAAATTAAGCTTACTCCTGCATTGCCTCACTATTTTAATCTCCCAAGGAGGAAAGAATAAAATATTTAAAATACAAATATATAAATGTAACATTTTTCTAGAGAAAGTATTTTCTCTTTAGCTCTTCTATTCTATAAGTAATGCCTTTTGTCTACCAGACCATTTTACTCTGGGGGTTTAAGAGAGCATGCGAAGAAGTAAACAAAGATGACTGAAGTCAGTGCCCAAAGGTTTGATATCAGTATCCCACGGGGTATCCACATCGTGGAAGGCAAGTTTTGTTAAAGAAAAAGCTGATCTAAGGCTAGCCAACTTTGGGATCATGTCAATATTCTAAATAACATCAAAGCCAAAGGATTTGCTTTTCTTTTCTCTGTGAAATAATTTCTTTCCTATGAAATATAATTATTAGTTCCAAGGGATGCACTATTAGCTTTCTTTATAATGGTTTAGAAAAATTAGTGACCATAGAAAGCAAGTTCAAATTTCATTACTGATACAGGTTAGAAAATTGATGTCCATCATAGCGTAACAGAAGGAGAATGGGATGGGGAGTCAGGAAATCGGTTTCTATTCCTGTCTTTGAAACAACACAGTGTAATGAAAATAAATCTGGCTTTGGGGTATTATAAATCTGGGTCTAAATCTTGACTCACCAATTACTAGGTATGTCACTTTTTCTCAGCTTCATTTTCTTATTATGTAAAACAGGAATAATAATACTAGATTGCACAACTGTTGTAAGAGTTAGAAGTAATTTGTGTTTGTGTGTGTGTGTGTGCATGCGTGTGTAATGCTCAGAATAATTCCACGTATATCTTATAAGGTTTTTAGTTAACAACAGCTGGTTTTGCATTTTTATGTCATTATAATGATGTGGTTGTATTAGGCTATTTCTGAGATTCCAAGAAAAGTCAACATCTCTTGAACACGAACCTCAACATCAGATTAAGTTTACTCAACATAGAATAACATCCCAACACATTCTGAAGTGAAATTAATAATTCAAGCCAAAAGTTCTCTTTTTCATTTTGTTATGTTCTAAACCAAAACACCTAAAACAAATCAAAGCATTAGTCATTTAAAACTTGCAAGAGTCATTGCTAGTGTTCAACCATCATTGATTCCTTATCTCCGTCTGTAAAAGTCTCTTCAAATACTAACATACCAGCACTGATTCTTTATCTTTCATCTGCTCTGTCAGACTATATGAAATGTGTCTCAACCATACACTCCATTGGTGGTAACGAAGTTTAATGCCTTACAGAATTGGTGACTGTGTAATATGCTCTGATGAACCCCAGATCTAGCCCAAATGGATGGTATTCCCAGGAGTAGAAGTGATGCTAGGGTGGAACAAAAGAGCTAAAATGTGATCGCATCTCTAAAGAATCTCTGCTATGAGGAAAGGTTGAAGGAGTTGGTTTCCTTCTTACTGGAAAAGAGTTTCTCACTGACACCCAGAACCTTCTGAAATTATGAATAAAAGATTTGGAACTGATAACCTCTTCCTAGAGGAGAAGGTAGTCAAAAGAAGATTCAGTGAGAACCTCCAATATCGGAAGCACATGTTGGTTGGCTCATGACATTAGGGCTTTTTCTCCATTTTATTTCAGGAATGACATAAATCCAGAAGTGATATGTCACATACTCTATTGATCACTCCTATTTCTGTTAACCACCAAATTTAAATGAATGAGTCTGAGGCTTTAGAGACTAGGGGTTTGGGTTATCAGAGTACTTTACTTAAGTTCTAAATTCCATCTTTTTTTTCCCCTAGATGTTTCAATTAGTCATCAAACATGTAAAACTCCTTTTCCTCTCAGTAAAAAGAAACAAAGCTAAATTATAAAAAGTATAAGCTTTACAATTCAACACATGTATCAAGTGTCCCAAAATCTATATTCACATTAAGGATATTGACGGAGAAGGAAGAGATGAGAAAACTATAAAATAAACAAGATTTTGTACACCAGTAATCTTACTGACAACAAAGGTTATTTCCAAAATCCCAAGTTATGAGATCATTGCTCCTATCTTTTTTTCAATGCAGAGATATCCTTGATGATCACAATAGCTTAATAAGTAACTATAGTCCCTTACTCCTAAATTGCCTTTCACATCCTCCCAATCTGCCATTAATTAGCTCTCTTGATTTGTTTATCCAATGCTGTGAGGTAGCAAAGTAGGTGTTATTATCCTTTCCTTAC